ATCTGGTTTTAGTAAACCAAGGTTGGGATAGCTTAACGCCTGCAGCCAAACACCACCCTTCTCCTTCACAATCAGCGCCAGCAAGAACCAGAACTCTGCCACCGACAATAAACTCCAGCACCCGAGGTTTGCAATGGAGAATCAAGGCTAGTACACACCCTAGCCCTTGCAGCGGTGATGGCAACACAACACAAGCAGCGATCTAACAACCGAGCAGAGATGGTTCGCGATGATGGAACCTTTGCAACTTGCGATAGCCAAGGCAGCCTCGGCCAACAAAACGAAGGCTTTCAGATCTGAGAACGACGAACAAGAAATGCTGAAGACAATGACAGCTTCAAACCTTCGGCTCTGAATAGAATGACGGCCAAACCTTCGGCGAAGAACAGAATTGACCTCTATCTCAATTTTGATTTGTAGAAGAACAACACAGCTGTAATCACAACCACAATCTTAGTTTCCCATTGTTTCGTACCGCTCTAATACCATGTTCAAACTGATGAGAGAGAGAGAGAGATCATAGTGGCTATAGAATTGTGTATTTCATATATATTAAACCCTAAGCCTACAGTGGCTTATATAAAGATACAAGACTCAGCTAATTACACAATGACCTTACCAACTATATGTAATTACATAATGACCCAAAACATTTTAACAATCTTGAAGAAGATGAAGTAGCCTACTTGGTTAAGAAATTCAGAAAGTTTAGGTTCAAGAAGAGAACTCAACCACAAAATCTAACCTATTATGGTTGTGGTAAGCCTGGTCACTATGTGTCTAACTGTCCTAATTCAAAAGGGCAAAATTAGAGAAAGAATGAAGGGGTTAACAACAAAGGAAGATTTGGAAGAAAGGCACTTGTTTCAAATTGGGATGTAGCTCCTGAAGAAGACAAACTAGAAAAATCTCAAAAGGATGAATGTCTGTTCATGGTTATTCTTGAAACCCCTCATGTTCAAGATGAAATTGAAGAAGATAAGTGATACTGAATTTGAAGAAATACTTAAAGAATGTGAAAGATTTGCTGTGAAGTGTGATCAATAGAGGTCTCAAATCAAGAACTCAATTCAGAATTGCTAAGATCCAAACAATTGCTCACTAAACACTTCAGGCTTAAGTTGTCAACCTTGTGTTCAATCTCTTTAATCTTGTTTAGTCTTTTGAAGTCTCAATCAAACAATATGTGGACTACCAAAAGATGTAAAGAAAAGCTTTCACATGTTCTTGAATAGCGATCCTTGAAGATGGCAGAAATTTGGAAGCATTCTACAATGCAAATTAGCAAGACAGGAATTGGATACATCTGTGATACAGCAGCAAAGTTAAAACAAACTCACTCTATGTTTGGACAGTCCACAACTGGTGAAGTGTATGCAAGGTTTCCCATTATAAAACCCCCAAGGTCAAGTCCACAATTGGTGAAGTGTATGCAAGGTTTCCCATTATAAAACCCCCAAGGTCAAGTATGATATACTTGACAACACTTACAACACCTTGAGATTGATGTGATTATATCTTAAAGTCAACACCATATCTAGATCTGAATCCGAACTGGATACTATCAAAATGATCCATATCTGACCATATAAGTTAAACAAGATCCATATAGAGTACAATATACTTTATTTGGGTAGGGTCTCGGGTAAAACGTGATCCATTTAAAATACACATATCCATATCTGGTCTGAATCTTCGATGGATCTATATCTAAACCATTTTTAAAGTTTGATTTAAAATTAAAATCCAACCTATTAAAATGAACTTCAGATTGGATCATATCCTGGGTGAAACCTGCTCCATTCAAGCCCTAGAGTAAAGATTTCAAGAACCATGTTATATCCATTCTTAACAAATGTGAGAAGTACAACACTAAGAGGCACGTGTCAAACACATTTAGTTGGACATCGGCATAACAAACATATCCATTCTCAAGGGCGTTTTGGGAGAAAAGCTTGAATGCCAGGTTCATTGCCCTTGTTCCAAAGAAGGGGGGATTGACTAATGTCAAGGACTTCAGACCAATCAATTTGGTGGGGTGCATCTATAAATTAATTGCTAAGGTGCTTGCTATGAGATTGTGGGATGTATTGGATGGAGTCATCTCGGACTCCCAAAATGCCTTTGTTGGAGGTCGCTAATTATGTGCTTATTGCTGAGGAGCGTGTTGATTTCAGACTGAGTTATGGGTCCCGGTGTTCTGTGCAAGTTGGATATTGAGAAGGCGTATGATCATGTTAGTTGGAGCTTCCTCCTTTACCTTTTGGATGGGATGGGATTTGGAGTGAGGTGGAGGAAGTGGATTGAATTTTGTATCTCCAGTGCCTGATTCTCGGTCCTTGTGAATGGAGCTCAGACCGGGTTTTTTGATAGTTCGAGGGGACTAAAATAGGGGGACTCGCTCTCCCCATTTCTGTTCCTTATTGTGACGGAGGCGCAGAATGATGACAAGGGCAGTGGATTTGGGCTTTTTGAGAGGCTTCAGGGTGGGGTAGGGAGGTTACTTGTCAGTTAGAGATTTCGCATTTGATGTTTGCAAATGACATGTTGGTTTTTAGTGATGCGGAAGTGTCACAAATAAGATACTTGAGATGACTTTTGGTTTGGTTTCAAGTTGTTTTGGCTTGAAGGTGAACATGGGTAAGAGTGTCTTGGTTCCGGTAGGGGAGGTTACAGAGCTACCCACCTTAGCTTATGTTTTGGGATGCAGCGTTGGTTCTCTTCCCATTTCCTATTTAGGGTTGCCTCTTGGAGCCCCTTTGAGGAGGGTTGGAAGTTGGGACCCAGTGGTTGAGAGATATGAGAAGAGGTTGGCCGGTTGGAAGAAACAATATCTTTCCAAATGCGGGAGGGTAACTCTCATGAAAAGCACTCTATCGTACCTCCCTACTTATTTTCTCTCTATTTTCTGAATTCAATCTTCTGTGGCAGAACGGATTGATAGGTTGCAACGGAACTTCCTTTGGGGAGGCAAGGGGGAGGAGTTCAAGTTTCATTTGATTAGGTGGGAGCAGGTCTGCACTCCAATCCGGAAGGGTGGTTTGGGTATCAAAAGACTTAAGCCTTTCAATAAGGCTTTGTTGGGAAAGTGGCTTTGGATATTTGGGGTGGAAAGGCACAGACTTTGGAGGAGGGTCATTGTGAGCAGATTTGAAGAGGTGAGAGGAGGTTGGTAGTCTTCTGAGGCGAGAGCCCCAAGTGGAGTTGGGGTTTATAAATTCATTGGTAAAAGGTCGGATGAATTCTCCAAACACATCAGATTTCGAGTTAGGGATGGTAGGTGTATTTGTTTTTGGGAGGACACTTGGTGCGGTGATCGTCCTCTTGCCCTCATCTTTCCTAGACTATTCTGAATTGCTACAGATAGAAATGCCATGGTGGTCGATTGTTATCGTCTCGATAGTGGGAGTACTGTTTGGGATGTCCGTTTCTTGAGACAATTCCAGGATTGGGAGATTGAGGAGGCTTTTGGCTTCTTGGAGTTGCTTTATCACCAGGAGATTGCGGGGGAGGTTTCTGACCTTTATGTGTGGATTCCCTCCCCCCAGGGTCGCTTTGATGTTCGGTCTTTTTATAGGTGTCTTTCGGATGCTGCAGGTCCACCCTTTCCTTGGAGGGCTATTTGGTGGTCGAAGGCCCCTCTCAAAGTGGCTTTTTTTTTCATAGACATCCATATTGGGGAAGATTTTGACTCGATATAATTTGAAAAGGAGGAATCAGATTGTGGTTAATTGGTGTTATATGTGTAAGAAATTAAGAATGACGAAGAAACGGTTGATCATCTTCTTTTGCATTGTCCTGTGGCTCGGGATTGCGGATTTTTGCTATTTGGTTTGTTTAGGGTTCAGTGGGTTATGCCCTGATCTTCCAGAGGTTTGATTGAGGCTTGGAGAGGGTGTATAGTGGGGGCCCAAGCTCATGATTTCTGGAGGGTCACACCGTTATGTGTTTGGTGGAGTTTATGGCTTGAAAGGAATAGGAGATCCTTTGAAGGAAAGGAGAATCCTATTGGGGTGTTGAAATTCTTCATTATTAGTACTCTTTTTTGTTGGGTTCTCTTGGGAGAAATTGTAAATCCTTAGAGGAACTTGTAGATCTTTTGGAGTCTTTGAGGGATAAAAGGCCCTATTTGGCCTTGTGTTGCTTTTGAGGGATGCGTTCCCTTTTTGAACGCTTTTTATACAATATTTACTTATCAAAAAAAAAAAAAACTCATTTATTATGTTCCATTCTTTTACATTATTCATTCAAAAATGAGAGAAGTGCCCATGTTGAAAACTCTAATTATATTAAACAACATTATATTAGCTTAGAAAATAATGGAAGAATATAAAAAATTTGAATATTTGTCGTATCTTGTGTCCTTTGGTTTAGGATTTGCCAAAATCCGATGCCTAGACAGAGACCTGGATCCAACCCCCGTACTTGAGTCTTATATAACATAGTGAAAGAGAAGCCAAGGAAGAGAGAGTCAAGCTATTATAGCTTGACTGCCACATTGAAATGTGTCAGCATGAGATTTGCCACCTAACCAAACCTAACTGATAGATCCATTCCAGGCTTTCCGGGGTCCAATTAAGGTTTTCAAGTAAAAATTAGGGCAGTCATGACTACTTTTCATTGTAGTTGATGATAGATCCAATCCAGGCTTTCTGGGTTCCAATTGAGCTCACTCCAACCAAACCTATCATTTATAAACACCCTCACATACAGCTTGTTCAAATACATTCGTGCAGTGCACAAGATAATAATATAAGTTATTCTCTTATCATCGGATAGATTTCATGAAAGGCGAAGCTCATCATTATGAATAAAAGGAAATACAGAATGTTAATGTAACTGCATTAGAAGTTATGGGACAGGAGAAAAATATAGTTCAATTTTAGACTGACAACCAATAGGAAGTCATACAATTATATCGACAGCAACCTCTAGATATTAAGTATAAGAATTGCCTACTTTAATCAGAACAGTTGATAGAATCAAGTTAATAGCAGTACCTGCCAGTATCCCCACATCCCAAAGGTCTTATGGGCTTGAAATGCTTTAACCCAATTTTGTCACCACTAGCAGTGATCTAGAAGCACAAAGGGGATACAACAAAGATATTAGTAAAGGAGTAAGCTGTAATATGCATGATTATACATACCCTAATAAACAAACAATAAAGTAATCATAAGCCTTATATGCCAAAAATTCTTTGGACCTCTTATTCCACTATGTCCAATGCTTATGATGCCTAAAGCAAGTAATAAAAACATGCATGTCCAGAAACCGGAAGACACAACCCCAACAAAAAATAAAACAAACGCAAAATACAATTTTGAACAATAAAAGCAAGTAATAAGGATCTTATATATCGATATGTAAACATATTTAAACCAAAGAAAAGGAAGAAAATATCATACCACAAACACTCCCAATACACGAGAAGCACTGCACAATGCATTCTAGAACCTAGATCCTATATATAAGTGAAGTTTATGATAACTTTCAAATTGTAATACAAAACGACCGACAAACTAATTGAGTTGTTGAAAACCTTGAAATAGAAGCATGACCTAAGGAAAGAATTCAAAACAAATGAGCCCTGTGATGTTAAAATTGCTAATCATAGAGATTAGTGCAGGAAATACTCCTTATGCATTCATTATTAAACTAAAGTTAAACTACATTGTTCAGACCAAACTTACCAAAGTTTATTTGTTGTCTCCACCCAATGTTTCATCAATACTTAGATGCCAAAGGAGTGTAAGAAATGCATTGTTCTGGGAAAATACGGTATGTTACAGTGAATACCAAATGGGAAAAGGGTATCAGTTTCATATCAAATAGATCTTAGTGATAATCTTAAATGCAAGATCTGTCTGGAAAATAGTGCTAGGTCAATTAATTTCGTTCAAAAATTAAAGTCTGTATTATTATTTTATTTTTTGATCAGTGTTTTAAAAGTTAGGTAAGTTAGTCAGTTGAGTCACCTGTCAAACGGGAAAGCGAAATTGAAAGCTTCAAGCAAGGGCACAAAAGGTAATTGCAACTCTCAATTTTTACACTCACCAAATTAGGGTTCATTATTCATATGCATTAAACATGTTAGGTTTTCAAAATACACGTTTTGATTCGTAAACCTCTTTTGGAATGCAAAAAATCATTTTAAGGAATCTATTTTTGAAATCCTTAAGAATTAAGAACAACGTTTTTTCAACTGACCAAGGGATCAATTGGAGGCCACTTGGCCATTTTTTATCAATAAAAGATGTCTTCAATCTGGTGAAACCTACGGAATTAAGTTTTCAAATAGGATCCAAATTCTCATAACTTTAATCTTTTATGCTTCTAAACTCTATATAAACACCCTAAGTGCTCATAAAAATGAAGCAAGCATAACTGAAGCATATACAATCATATTGAGTTATTCTAGCAATCTAATTGCAACAAGTTTCTTTGTTTTTCACTCGTCATACTTGCACTCTATGGTGAATGAACTTTGAGTGTGGAACTTCAAACAGTCCAAGGACTACAGGATTTTCAATAACGTTAGCATCTTCCACACAAGTGAGAAGAACGGAGTTGACAACGGACGTTACTACTCATGGAATTCAATGTGTTAAAGGACTACTCATGGAATTCAATGTGTTAAAGGAGCAGATCACGTGAGGAGTGAACTCGTTGACTAGCAACAGTGGAGTTCAAGGAGATCATTCGGCGTGAGTCTGAATCAGAGGTAACTAGGTGATTTTTGGATTTAGAGTCTGGTGAATCCAATTGTAAACCATTTCTCATAGTGGATTTGATCATCTCTGGTCAAATTTGCACTCCATTTGTCACAAGCTCTCAGCAACTTGCAGACATTCCTACAAAGGGTGTCATCAAGATTGTGTTTGAGAATGCATTGTCCAAGTTGGGCGTTTCAAATATCCATGCACCAACTTAAGGGAGAGTGTTAGCAAATATGATAGCCACGATTTATGGAAGGACTTACTGTATTAGTAGAGATTTGATTATGCTATAGAATATGCTGTGATTTTATTTAGATTTGATTTTAATTTCCTTTCTTGTAATATGAACATGTGCTTTTTTTATCTATAAATACTAAAGCTGTGAATGAGTGATTCATCTCATTCAAGCCTTTAAACAATTCTCTCATTTTTCTTCTTTTTATATTTCTTCTAGTACTCTTTTTTGTTGGGTTCTTGGGAGAAATTGTAAATCCATGGATGAGATTGTTGATTTTTTGGACACTTTGAGAGTTTAGAGGCCCTATTAGGTCTTGTATTTTTCTGTGGGATGTGTTCCCCTTTTGAACGCCTTTTAATACATCTTTATTTATAAAAAAAAAAAGTGTGTGGATGTAACACCTATTCAACCCCTTGTCCCCCGGGTTTAGATTGGTTCATTCACATTCTATGACTATTAGAGCGTAGGGTTACGATCCTTATTCTTCAGATAGTTTTTCAATTAAAATGAAAATCATCAATCACAGTAAACTTCACTTGATCAAGTGCAGTCATGAGATGACATCTAATTAATGTAAGCATCAATACTAAATGCAAAGGCAGCTTAATGTCACGGACTTGAACCTTTTCAAGCTACCGTGCGGCCTTAGACACTTTCAAGCCCCCTTGAAGCGCTAAGTCAGCCTACCCGAGTGTGCTAGCTTAGTGAAGACTAAGGCTAGACAAGTGTTTTGCTTGCTTGGGTGTGTAGGAAGAGGTTAGGCAAGTGAGCAAGAGAGTTTGGAAATGTATAGAACTTGTATTGCTTGAGAGGAGAGATTACAACTTGGTTGCTTGGTGAGGAGCAAATGAACCCCCACCTCCAATTTATAGGCCTTTAGCCTTGCAAGAACATTCTAGATGTGTACAAATGTGTGGCCTAGATTTAGTATCTAGAATCCTCCAGAAATATCTACACAACTCTAGAACTATCTACTATGTACAAGACAAGTTGTATAGAATTCTAGAGAATTCTATACAACTCTAGACAAGTCTAGAAAAGGCTAGACAACTCCACACTAATCTAGAGAATTCCGGAAATTTCCATACTTGTGTAGAGAAGTCTAGAAAGCTCCAGTCCATGCAGGCTCCATGTCATCGTCTGCTGGGCGTCTGCGTGGCGCCTGCGTGGCATAGCCTCTTGGTAGCGGGGTGTGACATTAAGGTATAATCATAACAACAAAAACCGATTTATACTTTATGTTGAAAGCGAGAGAGAGAGAGAGAGAGAGAGAAAGAGAATATATGAAAACGTATCTCTTATTGAGAGAGTAATACAATAATACAATGGTGTTTATATAGGAGAAGCTACGGGAGTAGGTGAGTGGAAAACAAGTAAACCCTATACATAGTAATTTTGTACATGGTAATGAGGGGTAGGTGACAACTCATACAATACTAACTGTACATGCATGACAACTCATACAATACTATACAATGTGACAACTCATACAATACTGTACATCAGTTCAGTTGGTAACAAGCATCTCACCGGACTAGAATATAATTCCACAGAGTTAAATTCAAAACAAATACCTTTTGTATTGCTGTCCAAGAAGAACTGTACTTTTTGTGAGGCCTTGGGAAGACAGGTTGAGAATGGATAGCCCACAAATCTTCTGGTCTCTGAAAGTGGTAGAATATAAAGGCTGCTTCAGCCATTATTCAAAACCAAGGTTTATCCTTAATGGCACAATAAATTATAAAAAGAGTAGTAAGTAAACTATAATAAAATAAAAACATTCAGAGCCTAAACAGAACAATATAGACTGTCATTAAACATCCTATACAGTTATCGGTAGTTAAATAGAAGAAGAGGAGCAAACTTGGAATTCCGCATGAAACTTGCTTAAAAACTCTTTTAATCAAGTTTACGGTTGAATTGGTCTTATTTTATATTAATTTATGTTAATTTTCAGCTAGTATATCTTTATTTATGTTATATATATATATATTAAGAGCCAAGGTTATTATGATAATTTCAAGATTTGTGGGACATTGGTTACGACAATGGTCTATTTTCAAACATAGTCCTAGAAGAAATAAGATAAGGCCAATGGCACATGAAAATCTCTTTAACCTTTTTATTCAATAGAATTGAGTTCAAAAAAATTGATGATTGAGTTATCTGTGATGTAACCTAATCTTGGGGGTGAGTCCTTGGGAATTCGAACTAAGTCTCCTAAATTCAGAACCTTCAAATTTATTGTATTTTTATTAACAAGCAATGTGACCTCAATAGTCATCCTTTCCAATCTTAAAAATCCTACTTTAAAAAGTCTAAACCTTTCCTCCATCTAAAACTAGAACCCAGCAAACAAAAAAGGAAAAGGACAAAGAAAACTATTTAGGGATTATTGTTCACAGCCCCATAACAGCTCCCATTTCATCCCAAAACTATATCTATAGCCCTATTCCTTATTTCCTACTTTTAGCCTTTAATACAACAACCAAACTTCATAATTATTTACTGTCGAAAATTTTCCAACCACCAATTTTTGGAAATTCCAGCAACCTAACACAGAAACCCTTTCCTATGCTATTTGATTCACAAACCATACAAACTTTTATACCACATAATACCCCAACACTACAAGTTTTACATAATCTAAGCCAACCATATAGTACACAAACCTAACCATAGGCAGTATTATTAGATTTTACTAGTGTTGTCCCACATCACATCAGTGTGATGGTCATTCATATATACAAAATAATGGCACTGTCAACGATAGATCTGGACACTAGGATATTCTAAGATATAAATGCAAGTATACTGTAATATTTTTGCCCTGACACCTTAATATAGACATGAGGTTGTCTAGCTCCTAAGCCATCACATTTGCCAACTCACATGAACAAGTTCCGTGTACCATAAAACTAGTGATTGTTACACCTTAATATAGACTCATCCATTGACCAAATAAGTGAACTGTGTATAATCCAAAAACTATAAACGTCAGGAGAAGTGTCATGATGTTCTAAAACAATCGAAATAGACATCATATATACATATATGAGAGAATCTGAGTTCATTAGTCCATGTATTGCTAAGGTGGTAGCTCATGTGGCATCTTTAGCAAAACATGAAACATCATGGCATCTCCACAAAAGCCAACATATCACTCTTGCAACTCAACATGTGGCAATCTACAAAGGCATCTAGACAGACTATCACTTAACCAACCTAAAAGGCTCTACAGGGTGGCATCAAGATACTTTGGACAAGTAATTACTGTCACTGTCTCTATCTTAAGACGGTCTCAACTCTCAACCTCCAATTAGTCCAGAACACCTAGGATCTCCATCATCTTACTTGTAATATCTATAAAATCCATTTCATCCACAAGAACCAGCACTATGTATACACACACACACACACTAACACACAGCAAAAAGAGTACCTTACCAAGTTGGCATCAGGAAGTTCTCGAACAGCCTCATCAACATTATTGGCAGTAGCTTTGACCTGGAAAAAGTGAAGAGCATTTAAATGTAAAAAACAATAGATATTATTCTGATTCAAATTAAATTTGACTATTTAGAAATGACAAAATATCACTGGATTCTTATACTAGCATGTAAAATACAAATAAGGCACATGCAGTCATACTTCTAGTGCTAGATACAATTTCCATACATGAATGAGCATTTTCTTGAGTTCTTATGTTCATAATTGTTATTTCATGATTCTTTATAGTTCTACTGCACACTGGGAAGCATGGATACAAATATCGGACACAAATACAACACGAGATGGATATGGCCACAAGCCGAATCCTGAAACATTATGACAGGACACGCAGAATAATAAATATGTATTTTTATACATATGATCATAGATTATAGGACTAATATCACTCTTCATCAACCTAAAAATAAAAAAAAATCCACAAGTCACAATTAATAATGATCTATGGCAATAATTCTCTTAGTCAAGAAGAAGGATAAAAAAATAAAAAATAAAAAATAAAAAGGAGAGAGAAAATGGGCTGAAGTAGAATTTCTACTCTCTTTACAAAAGTTGAAACCCAAAATTAAAGACAAGATTGCAGTTGTAAATAGAAACAAAAATGATTTTGTTAGGAGAGGGAGAGAATCAGTTAAAGAAATAAATAGGAAGAATTAGGGTTTTGCTGTGGAAAAATAGGATTTTGTTGATAACAAATGAGAGAATCTATAGAGGAAGACGCAGGTTTTGATGGAAGGAAAAAGAAGGCAAAAAGATTAAATATATATAGTGAGGATTTTTTTATGCATAAGAAAGCTCCACTGTGTGTCCGTTTATTTAAGAACAAAAAAATCAAAAATATTTTTTGGTATGTCCAACATACGTTGGACAGTGTCTAACGCATGTCTGTGTCTGACACAGATATTTCAACCTTTTAGATCTGGCCATGCTTCCTAGATTGCATTTACATCCTTAAATGATAACATTCTCAAATAACTACTCTGGTTTTGGATGTTAAAATTACAAAAGGACATTTATGAGGAAGCTATTATTAAAAGAGGATAAAAAATGAAGAACTTAAGATCACAGTAAGCTTACACAAGACAATAACATTAAGGCCCTTTAAATTGAAGGAATTTTTTAGAGACAAACAAGAAGTACCACATACAGAGAATTTTATTTATTTATTTGTTAGAAACTCAGTATTTATAAATAGGGATGGAGAGAGTCACCATTCTTTCAAAAAATCTCTTCATTATTTATTTATTATTACATTTTTTTGAATTGGAAAGAAATAGAGAAGGAATATCATATAGTTTAGTTTATTTCTTTCCTACGATGGCGTCCCCAGAGATATAATATAGTGGATTTTAGAAGGAAAATTAGGAGTGACAAATAGAAATATTAATATGATAAAGGACATGCATGATGGGAATGTGACTCTACAAAGAAAAAACTATAAGCGAAACTAACAAATTTTCAGTTACTCTATGCTTACGTACGACCAAATTCTTTTACTTTGTTATGGATGAACAAACAGAACATATCTCATCTACCATGAGATTCCTTGAATATTTGATAATTGATATTGTTTTAATTGCTGAAGCTAGAATTGACGATTCCAAAAATTTAGGACAAAAACTGGATGTATAGAATGTAATTTAGCAAATCAAGATACACGGAGAAAATCAAGAGTCAAGAGTTATTATTATTATTATTATTATTATAGTTATTATTTGATAAGTAAAATTTAATTGAAAAGCGCTAAGAAAGCAGAGCACAATTGAAAAGCACTAAGAAAGTGGAGTGCAACCAGAATACAGTTGCACAAAAAATAGAACTAACTATACCCTCAAAGTATCGACAAAAGACAAAGGATACTTCACCAATGTACAATTCCACCCATGAACCCAAAAGAATAAAGAACAAAGAATTTAACCATCCCAATAGGAGTCTCCTACCCATCAAAAGATCTCCTATTCCTCTCCCGCCACAAGCCCCACCACAAACAAAGAGGAGCAGCTCTCAAAGCATCTCTAACTCGACTCCCCACTGCCCAACCTCTCCAAGTGTCGAGCATGCTCTTTGTGGAATCTGACATGACCCAATGAACACCAAAAATATTGGTCATCCATCCCTAGCCACATGACAATGCAAAAGGAGATGGTTCATTGCACATACAACACCAATTAACTAAAATATGATGTCTCCTCCTCAAGTTATCTAACATCAAAATCCTACCCAAAATTGTCATCCACCCAAAGAAAGCCAACTTCAGAGAAGCTTTTGGACACCGAATAGCCTTCCAACGAAAGATATGCCGTCAACCACCATGTATCTGTAGAAAGAGTGCACCTCCAACCTTCCTTCCCTAGGCCGAGTCCCCCCAATTACGTAGAAGGGTTTAAAGTAGCAGCAACCAACGATAAAATGAGAGAAAATCAATTAAGATGGTTTGACCATGTGTAATTGTTGAAATATCTGTATTATTATTATTTTTATTTTTATTAGCTGTTTTCAGCCTTTTATTAGGTGTTTTATGTAAGATCCCTATTATCATGGGATCACGTAGATAAAATTCCCATAATCATAGGATCGCGTAGATTTTGTCATAATTCCTGTTTTTCTTTGATTTGGTTTTCTTTCTTTGTACCATATTCTTATATATAAATATAGCTCTTGGCTCTCGGTTTGATTAAGCCAAAACCCAAAACTACTTCTTTTTGGTATCAGAGCACAACGAAAACCTTCGCCTCCCCATCTTCCTCCCTAACACCGCCACCTTCTCTCTCCCTCTCTCCATTTTCCCTCACCTCCGGCGCACCTTCATCTCCTCCCAGCCCTTGCGCCGGACCCCTTGGGTAACCCTATGTTTTTGACTCCTTTTTTAGGAGAATTCCCTTAGTTTTTTTTTATAACCTAATAGTCCTGGTGTTTGTTTTATTTGTGGGATGCCGGTGTTTGTTCAGCAGCATATTTGGAGGAAAGCGCTGATTTTTCCAGCCTTGTTTTTGTCTCTTTCCTCCTGCTTTGACGTGTGGACTAGCCTTATTTTGGTACTATAACTTATTCTAGTAGCCAAAAGGACACTTTATCCTCAGTCCAGCATACTTTATATTCGGCACATCATACTTTGGCACAGCGGGTTACTGATGTGCTCTTGAATGGGTGCAACTTCGTACTTGGTCCCATTCTCTTCAACTCTATATTGGAGGGAAAGGGAAAACTGGTTGGCTTTTGGGTCTAGTCAAGGAACCGGAAAAGAGGGATACTAAATACATTGCATGGGACATGGATAGGTGCACCATTCTGGGTTGGATCTTCAACTCAATGGAGGAGCGTATTTATGATATGTTCATGTTTCACACTTCCGTTTTTCGTCTGTGACAAGCCTTAACAAGACGTATGCCCATTCCCGCAATGACGCTCGTATCTTTTAACTCTATTAGGAGATTGCTCATACATCTCAGGAGACACTCAAGCTGTCAATATCAGAGTATTTTGGGTACTCCAGTCTAGGTGGGAAGAATTAGCACAGTATGAACCTCTCTCCAATTTCTCTAAAGAAGCTGCAACTATTTTGGTCAAGAGACTACACCGCCAGCATATCTACTAGTGTTTGATGAGTTTACTATCGAAGTATGATGCTCTTAGAACTCAGATCATAAACACCTCTCCTATGTCTGATTTATATGATGCCTTCGCTATTGTTGACCATGAGGAGCATAGACGTCGGATCTCTCAGCCAATAGCTTTACCAGAGACTCCGGTTGATCAGATGGCTCTTGCTGTTAATTCTAGACTTTCAGAGGGAAAGGTTATTTGTGAACATTCTGGAGCCACGGGTCATGTAAAGGATCGTTGCTTTAAGCTTCATCCCGAGCTAAAGCAGAATTTTTCTCACAATTGTCCTTCTAGCCGTGGCCGCACTGCCGCAGTAGCCGATACTATTGGTGGGTATACTACTCCACATAATTGTTGTCCCTCCTGCTTCAACTCTTCCCAGACCATCTTTTCAGTACTTCAATCAGTTACAGTCTTAGATTGGTCAGCGTTAGGAGCAGTTTGGAGCTTTATCTACCAGGGCTGGCTTTTCTATTCCCACGGTTACTATAGCTACAGGTACTCCTGCTTTTCATGTTAAAGCGGGAAAACCTACTTGGGTTCTGGATTCCGGAGCCAATGATCACATGTCTGGTGAGTTGTCATTCTTTTTGACTCCCATTGCCTCTGTTAATCAGGCTGTTAGTCTAGCCAATGGGTCAACCACCATTATTCGTAGTAAAGGAGATGTTTATATATCCCTTGATATTATTTTTCCATCTTTTCTTCACGTTCCTCACTTTGCATTTAATCTTCTATCTGTTAGCAAACTTGCCAAATCACTAAACTGTGCAGTGATTTTCTTTCCTCGTTATTGTGTTTTACAGGACTTGTTTTCGAAGAGGATTTTTGGTAGGGGATATGAGCACGATGGCCTCTACTATTACTTTAGGGATCCTCCACCGACACCTCCTCCACTTGCTTCAAGCCTTCAAGCCTCTAGTCTTCCAGTTTCTAGTTCTTATGATTTTTCTTTTCAGACTTTAAATCTATGGCATGCTCGCCTTGGGCATTTAAACTTTCAGTATTTATGTCTGCTTTTCCCTTCATTAATAACGGCTTGTAAGGATAATAATTTTCAAAGTGAGATTTGTGAACTTTCTAAACATACTAGAATCAGTTATATTTCTCATATGCATCGTGCACCTAGTATGTTTGATCTCTTACATTCTGATGTGTGGGGTCGTCCTCCCATTACTGCTTTTTCGGGGCATCATTATTATGTCACATTCATTGATGATTATTCCCGCTGCACAAGGGTATAATTACTTGAAAAGAAATCTGAAGTTTTTCCCTTGTTCACTCAATTTCTCCAAATGATCAAAACTCAATATAAAACTGTTATTAGGAATATTATGTCTGACAATGGTCATGAATATGTTTCCAATGAGTTTCGGTCACAACATAACCAATAGGGCATCCTTCATCAACTTACTTGTCCATATACCCCTGAACAAAATGTGTGGCAGAGCGTAAAAACCACCAACCAATGTCGGCTGTTTGATGTCTTTTAAGTGGTACGAATGTGCCAAAATCATACTGGCACATGGCGGTTCTTACTGCTAATTTTCTCATTAATCGTACCCCTAGTAGAGTATTAAATGATAAGGCCCCCTTATAAGTGCTTCAGCCTGATATTATCTTTTTCCATCATGCCTCAGGTGTTTGGATGTACATGTTTTTTTCAGAATCGTAGCCCTTCTCATACTAAACTTGATGACAAGGACTTTAAATGTATCTTTTTAGGATACTCTTCAGTGTCAAAAGGTTACCGGTGTTATGATCCTGTACATAAACACATGTATCACTCTCTTGATGTCACCTTTCATGAGTATACCCTTTTTTATAGTTCTAACACTATCTTGCAGGAAACTTCTACTCCCGATCAAGAGGCTTCTCCTCTTGCTCGTCCTCTTCCTATTTTTCAAGAAGAATCTTCTCGTGGTTTCCTCACCCCCTTTGCAGGTCCATTCTCGCCACCCTCGTGCTCCGCCTCCACTGCCTTCATCCTTCTCAGATACAGGTTCAGGTACATCTCCTCTCTCTCCTTTGCATTTCCCTAACCCTATTTCTGAGTCTCGGTATCCCACTCGAGACCGCAAACCCCCTGCTCGATTTGGATTCTCTTGTAGCACTGATCATCCTATTTCGCAATATATCTCTTATGATGGTCTTTCAAGGTCTTACCGAGCCTTTCTAGACAAACTTGATTCCATTTCCATTCCCAGAAATGTCTCTGGGGCTCTTCGGAATCCCAATTGGATGATGGTAGAAATGGATGCTTTGTAGCAAAATGAAACATGGGAGCTTGTATCTCTCCCTCCTGGTGAAAAGATTGTTTGTTGCAAATGGGTATTCGGTGCTAAATATCTGGCCGATGGCTGTATTGATCAGTATAAGGCCCGTTTGGTGACCAAAGGGTTTACTCAGATTCCTCGTAAAGACTTTAATGATACCTTCGCTCCAGTGGCTAAATTGACCTCAGTTTGTTTGCTTGTCTCCCTGGCTGCCTCTCACAATTGGCCTCTTCATCAGCTTGATGTGAAGAATGCTTTCTTTAACGGTGATTTTCTTGAGACTATTTATATGGATCCTCCACCTGGTGTTCGAGCTGAGGGGGAGTATGCTGGAAAGGTCTGTTGATTGCGGAAGTCTTTGTATGGGTTAAAACAATCTCTTAGAGCTTGGTTCAGCCACTTCAGTGATGTAATTCTTTCCATGGAGTTTGTTAGATGCCATTCTAACCATACATGTTTTATCTCTTGTTCCTCCACTAGTCGATGTATCATTCTTCTTGTCTATATTGATGATATCATCATTACTAGCAATGACATCCCTGGGATTGCTCAACTAAAGCTTCAATTGGCTAAAGCTTTTGATGCGAAAGACCTTGGGCAGCTCTGATATTTCTTGGGAATTGAGGTTGCTAGATCTAAGCAGGGTATCTCTTTATCGCAGAGGAAGTATGTCATAGATCTTCTTCGTGACACGGGTATGCTTAGGTGTAAAACTGCTTCGACTCCTGTGGATCCTAATATGAAGATCTCGGCTAAGTTTGGAGATCTCCTTTCTGATCCCTCGCAGTATCAGTGCTTGGTAGGAAGATTGATTTATCCTATCAACACCTGTCCTGATTTGGCTTTTGCTATTAATGTTGTGAGTCAATTTATGCATGCTCCTCGTATAGCTCATATGGATGCGGTATATCATATTCTTCGATATCCTAAGTCTTGTTGGATTATTCTATTCTTCTAGCACGCAGGTTGGGCTATCCTGTTTCAGTGATGCAGACTATGCTGGGTCCAAGACTGGCAGACGTTCCACATCTAGCTTCTGTACTTTCTATGGAGATCATCTTAGGGCACTTGTGAGATTCTCTGGCTTCGATCTTTCTTGGAGGAACTAGGGCTAAGTGAAAAACAATCCTCAGACTTGTTTTGTGATGATAAGTCAGCCATCATGCTTGCTTCAAATTCTGTTCTTCATCAGAGGACTAACAGATAGAGGTGGACATTCATTTTATCAAAGAGAAGGTTCATTCGGGAATTATCAAGCCATGCTTTGTTCGGTCCTCTAATCAGTCGACAGATGTGTACACCAAATCCGTTGGTCCATCTTTGCTTCATTCCTCGATTACCAAGCTGAGCTTAATTGATATCTCCACTCCAGCTTGAGGGGAAGTGTTGAAATATCTGTGTTATTATTTTTATTTTTTATTAGCCCTTTTCAGCCTTTTATTAGGTGTTTTATGTAAGATCCCTATTATCATGGGATTACATAGATAAGATCCCGTAATCTTGGGATCACGTATATAAAATCCCCATAATCATGGGATCATGTAGATTTTGGCATATTTCCTGTTTTTCTTTGATTTGGTTTCCTTTCTTTGTACCCTATTCTCTTGTATATAAATATAGCTCTTGGCTCTCGGTTTGAGTAAGCCAAAACCCAAAACTTCGTCTTTTGTAATGAAAACTACTAAGAACACCATTGAGGAAGAATGTTGTGATCCATATTGAGTATCAATGCTCTGGGAAGGAGAACCAGAAAACTAACGCGATTGAGATAATAAAGAAAGATATGATGGCAGTTGGGACTAAGGTTATGCTCTTAGAGCTGAATGGTAGAACAAGATACATGTAACCGACCCCAAATAGTTAGGAAAATCTTTCTGAGTTAATCTGAGTTGTAACATATATTTTTTTTGTTCCTCTACCCATTCAACACAAATCTTACCTTGGCAAAGTTTAAAAAAAAAAAAAAAAAGGATCTGCAGAGATGATTGCAATGCCCATATATTGACTACAAAGTCATCCATAAATTCATACATATTTACCATATGATGAGCTGAGAAATACCCCATAACACATTCTACATCTCCACCATGTGATATCTGTTGTAATTTTTTTTTTTTTTTTGTTCAAGATAATATTTTTCTCCACTTTGGAAATGCCGAATCCAGAGAAAATTAGCTAACAGGCTGCATTTTTGTAAATAATCTTGAAAAAGGAGATTTTATAAGGGATTTGTTGAAACTTCAAAGGTCTGAAGTTCTCTCAACTTTCAATATTTAAATTGGTCTAAAGAGACATTTTCCATTCTACATTAATAAACATGTTATTTTAACATTGCCTGAAAATTAAAAATGAAGTTTCGGTAACTCATACTTCTTTTCACAAGTTTTTAACACAATATTTTGAGCACTTAGACCAAGGATCGGTATTAAGCCCATACCTATTTGCAATAATCAGATGAAATAACAAAATAGTTCAAAACGAGATTCCATGGTGCATGATGTTTGTAGATGACATTGTGCTCTTGGATAGCTCTAAAGAGAACTTAACAATAAAAGTAGAGAGGAGGAGAAATGCTCTAGAATCGAAAGGATTGAGAAATAATCAGAACTAAAACTCAGTATATGGAGTGTCCGTTTAATAAAGAATCGGACATTGATAATATATGATAACACTAAACCAAAAGATTACTCAAAAAACCAATTTTGTTATCTAGGATTGATAGTACAAAATGATGGAAAGATAGATAGTCATACAACTAGTAGAATTGGAGCGGGTTCAACAAAATAGAGACAAGCTAGTGGGATATTATGTGACAAAAGAATTACCCATTACACATAGGCTAAAAGGAAAATTCTATAGAACCGTTATTAGACCAACTATGTTGTATGGAGTGGAATGTTGGGATCAAAAAAAGAAACAAGAACAACGCCTTCATGTAGCGGAAATGAGAATGTTAAGATGGATGAGGGGAGTTACTAGAAGAGATGAAAGTGTAAGAGCGAAATTAGGTGTGGCACCCATTGGAGAGAAAATTAGAGAAAGTAGACTTGGATGGCTTGGACAACTACATCAGATGGTTTGAGTGACGCACCGCTCGAACCAGGAATATTAGTTGTAATATAAGGTAAGAGACGGGGAGGGCGACCAAAAATAACATGGGATGAGGCTACTAAAAATGACTTTTAAAACGTTAATATAGTAGGTGCAATGGCATGTAATAGAAAATATTGGAGAGAGAGAATTCATGCGGCTGACCCCATCCATATGGGATTAAGGCAAGGATGATGGTGATGATGACGTGTTGACAAATTTCTGTTTTCATGTCTCAGTAAGTTCCACTCAATAATTCCAATTTTTTTCCCAACTTCCCATGGTTTTCTTTTCAAACCAAACAACATATCTCTTTCACTAAAACAAGTGGCATTACACCGTAAGAAAATCCAAACACCGAGTAGTATCAAGTTCTCAATCAGCGTAATCTAAAAAAGAACACTTGATTTTTAGTGGAATAGAATGCGAAAACAAACTTTTAAGTGACAATTACTGAAACCGGCACGACAAGAGTTGGGCATCACCATTATGATTACGCCCACATGTGATCATTCATTCCATAAAAATTTGAATTATAAGAATCCATAGAAGTTTTAAAATATTATGAAGAACCTATACCAACTTAGCACTTTGTTCCTCTGTTTTCTCTGAGAGGCGGTTTCTTAGGGGTTCCACATGATCACTTCCATCTAGTTGGACACCAATGAAATATTGAAGTTCACCCTGAAAATATCTCAAGGGACTTAAATTTTTTGAGAGGGAAAGTGCATGTAATAAACTCAAAAGATAACGGATAGACACCTTTTGATCACGCATGGGCTGCAAGTGGAATAAATTCCAGAATTTCTTCCCTGCAAATTTGTATTTAGTATTCCCAAGCTCATCAGCAACATGATTCTTTAATTAAAGCAGTACCATAGTTTTTACTACATATGCAGCACCAAAATATTTAAAGCAAGGACTAACCACTCTTAGTGTAGTTTATCAACTGTACAGTGATTTCCCTTTGCTCTCTGATAGCATTTCTTATCTTTGAGACAGTTCCTTGATCTGTTTCAGGTCCTTGAAGAAATCTGCATGCTCAAATAAACACAGAAAATAATGGAGGTGGCCTAAGTTCAAGATTTCATGACACAAAATGCCATGGCAGTGTGAAAAAATAAAAAATTCTACTGAATTGACAGAGAATTCAGAGATACGTATGACCGAAACTATGAAATTAGAAAAATGGTCACCACCATTAAATCGTAGATGCAGATCATGAGCAGATCGATATTTGACCCTTCAACCTGTGAACCTCAAGTTAATAGATCTGCCTACCATCAATAATAGAAATGTGCAACAGTTAAGATCAGTGGTACAACTTCAGGACTCTATATGGGAAAACGACATGAGTTTGGTTCAGTAAAGAAATACATACAAGATCACGCATCATCAATGAAACAGGATGAACTTTCAGTAGAAATAATTAGCTGATCTGACAGAGAATCCAGAGACATATATGACCGGAACTATGAAACAAGAAAAATGGTCACCACCATTAAATGGTAGATTCAGATTGTTGAAGGATTTAAATATTAAAGTTACACCCTCTCTGATAACTTAAGCTTTTAGTGTATATGGTTGTTAACATGGTATCAGAGCCAAAGATCTAGACTCTAGAGTTCAAACCTCACGTCATCCTAATAATTAAAAATTGAAACACGTGGTGGACCAAAACAAGAGCACGCGTGAGGGGGTGTGTTGAAGGAGTTAAATATTAAAGTTACACCCTCACCAATAGCTTAAGCTTATAGAGTAGATGGTTGTTAACACAGATCATAAGAAGATCAATAGTTGTTCCGTCAACCTGTGAACCCCAAGTTAATATATCTGCCTAACATCAAATTAGAAATGTGCAACAGATAAGATCAGTAGTAGAACTTCAGGACTCTATATGGGAAAAGGACATGAGTTTGGTTTAGTAAACAAAGACATAAAAGATCATGCATCATCAATGAAACAAGATGAACTTTCAATAGAAAGAATTAGGTAAGAATTAAAATCCATACCGGCAGTTTCTTCCTAAAATTTCTTCACGCGTATACTCGGTCAATTCAAGAAAGCTATCTGATGCAAATATCTGCACATTGAGGAACATATTGTCACTTCAAGATATAATATGCATCTAATTGGACATTGAACAGGGAGCATGTTTGCAAAGCAAAATGAAAAACCTTTCCGTGCTAGCGTTGATGAGATACTAAAAAAGATATGTACTAACACAGAATGCACAATGAGTAAGTTTAAAAATGCCCAGTGTAGATGAAAATACAGATTCAAATAAATAATAACTATTCTTTATATAACCAAATATGTTTTATAGAATTGCGGATACTGAAAAGCAACAAAACAAGATGAGATGAGCTAAAACATGTCCTGATAGCGCAAGCGATCAGCAGTCCACAACAAATAACTACTTCAGGAGGTATAAGCTGTGATGCTTGTGAAACTAAAATATACGTTGGCATGCAAGATAAATTAAAATGTTCACAATGGAGACAGACATTGTATCTCTAGAAAAAGAATCACAAATTGAACTTTCTGACAAAATGTATGCCATAGATTTACTATTTTTAATGCGTGTATAATCCTTTTTGTAAATAATGGGAAAGTAAAATACAACAGTAAAAACTACCAAATTTCAGCTTTTTTTTATCTTTATTTACACTCCAAAAAACAAAGATATATCTTACAATTGGGTTGTCAGGAAGTCTAGGATCTGTTATCACAAAATTCTTTTCAATGCGTTCCAATGTGGTTGCTAGGTCAATTCCTTGACGAATATCCCTTTCTCTGTCAGTATGGTCCCAACTGTCAGAGCGCTCTATGTCTTTAGTCATCAAAACCTCTGGCTCAATACTTGGTAGATTTTCATGCTTCCCTGTGTAGCTTAGAGATCTCCCTTTAAACCTGCAGAAGATTAAATCACAACTTATGTAAGAACTGATACTTTCCAGGAGTAATCTACTACGCATTCATCAAGTGTATGTTGATAGTTGAATAAGACATTTGACTAATGAAATTCTGAGCATTAGAATGTTGAGGAGATGGAAAAAGTGGTAGGTAAGACAGAGTCTTAACAAATGCTAACACGGCATGAAAAACTTTTATGCAGTTTCATCATAGGTGGCTACAAATCTTAACAAAATATACAATGGTTCAATTCCACCTAAATAGTAGGAGCAAGTCGTTGCTTCAGGTAATACGTGTCTCCATGCTTCCTCTTCTACACCTTGGATCATTGATTCAGGGGCATCCGATCACATGACAGGTAATCCATCACTTCTTTTTGATATTTCTCATATTTTCTCACCATCGGTTGTTACTATAGCGAATGGTGCCAAATCACCTGTTCATGGAATTGGTACCTTCCGCACTTCGGGTCTCACTTTTTCATCAGTTTTATATATCCCTCAATTTTCATTCAATTTATTGTCAATTCGCAAAATCATATCAGATTTAAATTGCTCAGCTAGTTTTTCTCCTTCCCGTTGTGTCTTTTAGGATCTCAAGATGAAGAAGACGATTGGTGGGGGGTTTGAGAAGGATGGTCTTTACTACTTCCAGGCAACTACTGCTCCGATAGCTTTACATTCCACCTCCTCTTCAGCTTACCAGTGGCATTGTCGGCTTGGACATCCCTCTTCAAATAGTCTTTGAGACTTGGTCCCTTCTTTAGTTGATTTTGCTAAGTTTAATTGTACTACTTGCGAACTTAGTAAACATGGGCTACTTTTAAGTCTTGTTTTGATAATAAAAGTTTAAAACCTTTTGAGTTAGTACATTCGGATGTTTGGGGACCAGCTCGTACTACTAGTTTATTTGGTGCTCGTTATTTTGTGTCATTTATAGATGATTATTCACATTTAACTTGGGTTTATATTCTTAAAGATAGATGTCAAGTATTATTTGTTTTTCAATCCTTTTATGCTGAAATTCAAAATCAGTTTGATGCAAAATTACTTGTTCTTAGTACTGACAATGCCTTTGAATATAAACTTAATGTTTTTCTCCTTGAATTGAGGGGCATTATCCATCAAACATCTTGTGTTGATACCCCTCAACAAAATGGAGTTGCTGAACGGAAGAATGGCCCACTCCTAGCCATCGATCGTGCATTAATAATTCTAATACATGTTCCAAAACATTTTTGGGCAAATGCAGTTCTGGTTGCTGCTTCTATTTTAAACCGCATGCCTTCTAGCGTTCTGCAAAGAAAATCACCCTTCCAAATGATATTTCCTGACAAAAACCCTTTTTCCATTCCTCCAAATGTGTTTGGGTGTGTCTGTTTTGTTTATAATTTAAGCCCGGGACGAGACAAACTTGATCCTTGTGCTCACAAATGTATTTTCTTAGGTTATTCTCGCACTCAAAAGGGATATAAATGTTACAGTCCAACTCTTCGTAAACAATTTGCGTGTTTAGATGTAACTTTCTTTGAGGATGTTCCCTATTATTCCGAGGAAGGCAGTCGTTTGGAGGACTCTATTCTTCAAGAGTCTGTTCTTCCAACTCCAGTTTTTGATTCCGACATCCCACCAGCTCTTCGTGTCTATGCTCGTCACTGGAAAAGAGTAGTTAATCATGTTCCAATAACTGAAGTAGTAAACCCAGCCTTGCCACTTCCACCGGTAGCTTCAACGCCTGGAGATTCTTCCATCTCTCCGGACTCTGATCTTGATCAATCTATTGTTGTTCGGAAAGGTAAACGGTCTTGTACCAATCACCTTATCTCCAATTTTGTATCGTATAATAAATTGTCACCCCCTCCTTTCAAGCTTTTTCTTTGTCATTATCCTCTATTGCTCTTCCTAAGTCCTACAGGGAGGCACTTTCTCATCCAAGGTGGAGGAAAGCTATGGAAGAAGAAATAAATGCTTTAAAATTGAATCATACTTGAGACCTTGATCCGAAGCACTCAGGTTGTTGACCGTCTCAAAGCTCGACTTGTTGCTAAAGGCTACCACTCAGACTTATGGCCTTGATTATACTGAGACATTCTCTCCTGTGGCCAAACGAAATTCTGTTAGTGTGATAATCTCTCTTGTAGCTAATCTAGACTGGTGCCTTTCTGCACGGTAACCTTACTGAGACAGTCTATATGACTCAACCACCTAGGTTTAAGTATAAGGGGGAGTGTGTGTGTCATCTCAAGAAGTCTATCTATGGCCTCAAACAGTCCCCTCATGCATGGTTTGATAAGTTCAATAAAGCAGTGGTAGCTCATGGTACGACAAGAATCCAGGCTAACCACTCTTTTTTTTAAGAAAACGAAACGTGGTATTGTGATTCTTGTGGTGTATGTAGATGATATCGTTATCACCGGCAGTGACAAAGATGGGATACAAGTTCTAATCCATCACTTGAGTTCTAGCTTCCTTACTAAGGATTTGGGCAAACTTCGGTATTTTCTAGGAATTGAGGTCGCTCGGTCGAAGGCTCTTTCTCAGCGGAAGTATACTCTTAATCTCTTATAAGATACTGGATATCTTGGTTCGAAACCTGTAGCTACACCCATGGAGACTAATGTAAAACTTAAGGTGGATGATGATGACCCACTCAATGATCCAGAGATGTATCGGGGACTTGAAGGTAAACTTATTTACCTCACAATCACTCGTTTAGACATCTCCTATGCAATCAATGTTATGAGCCAGTTCATGACCAGTCCTCGGGTACCTCACATGGAAGCAGTTATACGCATCGTGAAGTATCTCAAGGGTGCTCCGGACGTGGTTTGCTTTATCGATCTTCTGGACATCTTCGGATTGAGGGATACACAGATGCAGATTGGGCCGGTTCTCCTTCTAATCGACGGTCCACCACGGGTTACTGCACCTTCATAGGAGGAAATCTAGTAACTTGGAGGAGTAAGAAACAGTCAGTTGTGGCTCGTTCCAGTGCTGAAGCAGAGTATCGTGCCATGGCACACACTGCCTGTGAACTTACTTGGTTGAAAACTCTTTTACAGGAATTTGGGATTTCAATCCAGTACCCAATTCCTCTCCATTGTGACAATCAGGCAGCTATTCATATTGTTAACAATCCAGTCTACCACGAGAGTACTAAACACATTGAAGTAGATTGCCATTTTATTCGATTTAAAGTTGACTTGAATGAGATTGTTACACCTTTTGTTCCTTCTGGTAAACAGCTGGCAGACATTCTTCACTAAGGCGCTTCCCAAGAACTTTATTGATTCCATATGTAGCAAGCTGGGAATTATTGGCATTTACTCTCCAGCTTGAGGAGGAGTGTTGTACAATATTGTATGAGTTGTCACACGCGTACAGTTAGTATTGTATGAGTTGTCACCTACCCCTCATTACCATATATAGAATTACCATATATAGGGTTTACTTATTCTCCACTCACGTACTCCCGTAGCTTCGCCTATATAAACACCATTGTATTATTGTATTACTCACTCAATAAGATATAAGTTTTCATATATTCTCTTTCTCTCTCTCTCGTTCAACAGCTTCCAAATATATGGAGAATTTCGGGTAAGTCTCAAAATTTTAGAAGAGTACAATAGTAACAATACCAGATACCATATAATGTAGATGACATAAATTAATGGCTTCAAATTTTAAAACAATATGGAGAAAAATTTTGTTCTTGTAAAGGAGGCACGAGAAAGCTAAGTAGTCACTAAAAGCATCCTTGAAGTACCTCTTAAATAATAGCATAAAACCTAACGAGAAAGGAAAATAAGAACTAATCTTTCCCAGAAACCTCCATAAAGAGTCAAAGTGGTACTTATCATAGGCATTGTACCCATCTTCCGTGTAGCAGTATCTTATCATATATCGGTGAAGTATACTGTCGGATACAATCAAGATATAAATCATTTTACAGTTTTATTAGACCATTTTTTTTTTCCCAATAGCTATTTGAAAGAGAATGCAATTGATTAAAGTTCCAGAAACAACAACCAGAGTAAGACTCGATTGCCAAAGCTCGGGTTGTGCAGGCTCACCTGTTCGACGAAATCTGGAACCTTAGCTTAAGCTTACCACAAGCTCAAGTAGCTCGCAAGCCCATCTTGGCTCAGTTCAGAAAGGTTGAGGTTGAGGTTGAGTTTCACATTTACAATTTTTATGTTTTCATTTGATGGAAGTTTGATGTTAAAAAAAGATGTAACAAAAGTGAAGTATGATACGACATCTCATGTTTAGTGTAAATTTTTGTCCACACAATTATTTTTTTCCTTCTCCAAGATGTTGGGATTATAATGACATAGTAGTGCCATAGTAGCCTTGACTTCTGAAACCTGAAATTAATGAATTACCATGAAATATTGAAGAAGTTACATGTCATCCATCATAGGCGGTGTATTCACAGTCAAACTGAGTTGATCTTAGTCATGTTTGGTTTTGATTCATCATTCATTTAAAAAAATTGTTTTTAACAAATCTAAAAGTCCGCTAAGCCTGAAAATGATGATGAAAATGATTACAACAACAATGACGATGATGAAGATCAACCAAACCTTAGGGGGTGAAACTAAGTAATTAAGATGATGATTCTTGGTGACCGGATTTTGTTGTTTTACATACAACCAGCCCTTCATTTCTATACTTTTCATTCCACAACCCTATTTCCATAATATATACTGGTTTTCTACCATTTTGGCCCTTGATTTAAGCTATGGTCGATACCTCTCTTAATATAATCCTTTTTAGAAGATATGGTTGATAGCTGCCTTAATATTACAATGGAACAATGGAAACATTAATAAAAAGAACTCACCCCATTAAAGAAACGCGTCCTGATTTTCTAGATATTTTGACAGTCTCCTGGAAAGAGCTTGTGCGAGATACATAACTTCTAGAATCCAATTGAGGGGTTTGGGGTGCACTTATATTCTCAGTATCAGCAGATTTAGGCAGAACATAGTCAAGGTTGAAATTCTCCTCCACTTCATGCTTGCCGGTAGCATCATGATTTACAGACTGACTGTGAGATTTTGGATGCTTTATAGTTTGGACAACTTCTGTGATGGAACTTAAGGCCTTCTCCTTCTGCCGAGCTGATACACGAAAGTAATGAAGGTGAAAAAAAGTAGGCAGAGTCCTTCATGAAACCAAATTTGTTCTTTTAGCTTACCGTCATAGCGGATTAACGACTTAGACAACCCATTCGGCCGTAACGCTTTGTCATTCACACCTTCCGTGTATTTGCTGACCTCAACCTGCATTCTGCATAAAGAGAATTGGACATATCAAATGAACACTAGATTCTAATCAGATCTGCAAGGCACTGTGCAGAAAAGTACCTACTACTGTATCAGAACATATACCAAAATTAGATGATAATTGTACCAGTAGTTACCCCTATTAATTCCAATTAATTGACATAGTCATGACAAAAATCAAGGCAAGATGGGTTACAAGAAAAATAAATCCATAAAAGCATTCAGAGAGTTAAATTAAGATTATATTTTTCAATAACAGATTAAAGATCATTGACCCTAGACTTTGAAATTGTTGATCATATGAGATGCATCCAGTGGAGAACATGATCCAAACAAGTATCTGCTGCACTAGCAAAGTAAACAAAGAAGAACAACAAACCTGGAAATTTTGGTTTTAGAAAACATAGTTATGTTAGCTTCACGTCAGGAGAGTTTCATTGCAATTTGAAGTATGAATAATTACCAAAAAAAAAGTAAATGAAGGGTCCATTTGAATAAATACAGTTACTTTAATCCAACACACATTCGCTCTATTATCTCTTAATTACCAAAAAAAATGTCAAGGATTTGAGGTTGACGCAATCAGATAAGTTCATGAATCTTGGAACTCATCTGGTTTTCGTTCATATTCTCACTTTGTGAATTAAGAATATTTGTTAGTGTTTACAATCTACTTCGATCACTTCATCTTCAAAGAATGACAGTGATCAGGGGCAGAGCCAGGAATTTGGTTTAGGGGGGGCATGTTAACACTGACAAAATAATTTTTTTCCAAACAGGCAGAAAATATAATAGCGTAACAATAGTGCATTAGAATAAGTGAAAAAAAAAAAAAAAAAGGTTGTTGTACATAAATTATGCATGAGTGCAAGGAAAAAGAAATTTTTAAGAAGAAAATGAAATAAAAAGAAAAAAATATGAGAGAATTTTGAAGGAAAAAATAGGTTCTAATTGTAGAAAGAGAATGCAAAAGTTTTTGAAGATGACAAAAAGAAATTTGAAGAATAAGAAGGAAAAGGAATAAAGAATTAAAGGCGTTTTTAAAAATAGATAATTTTATGGGGGTACTTTAAAAATATTTACAAATTATACGCATAAAATAAAAATTTGTGGATTCAGGGGCAGAGGGGCCATTTTTTTATTATTATTATTATTTTTGGTGGTTTTGGGGGGGGGGGCGGGGGGGGGGATGTATAGAAAAAATATATATAAAAAAATTCTTACAAATTTATGTATAGAAAAAATATATATAGAAAAATAAATCTAGTTGGCCAGCATTGGGCAGGGTGGAATCTGCTGGCTCCGCCCCTGACGGTGATGAGGTTCAATCCACATCAAAACCATAACATTTTCATCTTTCATTATTCAGGTTCCATCATCCACAATAACAGAAATAGAAAGAAGATTACAAAAACTCAACCAAGTTGGTTGCTTCATGTGCAAAAAAAGAGAATTAACTGCACCAAGGCCAAAAAGAGCGATTCAATAGGAAGTATGCAGTGACCACGTCCCCAATGAGGGGACGGAATAGCAAGGCAATAAAAGTAGATTTACATTGCCAATATAAGGTGTACACTTTAATTGGTTAATTAAATTGCTGAGTTGTAACATGTAAGCGAGGTCTAAAACCAGAACATAAATACATCTTTCTGAGAGATCCTCAAATTATCCTCAATATGGACTATGTCACTCTTCGCACTGGCACAATTAAAAGGTCTCTTTCTACATGTCCAAACCATCTCAATTGAGTTTATCTCATTTTCTCCAATTGGTGCTACTCCAACTATCAAAGGAATGTGATCATAATTCTATTCTTTCTAGTCTTTTTTTATGATAAATAAGATTGTAAAAATTCTGTTCTTTCTAGTCTTACCGCACATTCATCTTAACATATGCAATTCTGCCGCGCTCACTTTATGCATATGTTGTTTTTTCACATCCAACATTCTTTCCCACAAAAGTATGGCATGTTCAATAGAATTCTCTTTCAATCTCAAGGGAATACGGGGGTACACTCCTTTTGGAATATATATATATATATATATATATATAAAGGTGATAGACAAGGAAATGAAATGAAAATAAAAGTTTACCCAATAAATTTGATGGTCCTGCCATTGTCGTCTTTGATAGGGGTGATAGTGAGAAGATTCCAGAAAGGGGCGCTGTTCTTCTTGTAGTTCAAGAGTCTGCCACAGTAGCTTTTCCCCTCTCTCACAGCATTTCGAATCTTTTCAACCTCCTTCTGGTCCGTCTCCACCCCCTGTAGAAACCGGCTGCATCATCCAAAACAAACAAACAATCAACACCCATGTAGTTCAAGAGTCTGCCACAGTAGATATTCATTGATTTTTATTTTTTACTTTACTTTACTTTGTGAGGCTTTAAGTAAAATAAAATAAAAAATTTATTTTTAAAAAATAAAATAAAATAATGTTTTGGGCATTCAATTACATCAATTTACATGAGGTTCAGCATTTAAGCTTTGATTAAATTAATTGAGTCGTTTAAATTAATTATGTATTTTATTATAATATCTTGTAGAAGGAAATGATACAACACAATATTGTGATACTAATTAGTGATTATTAACCTAGAAAATCTATATGAATTAATGAGCGCATTTGATCAATTGCACTTTTACTATTTTCTAAATATGAAAAACTGGTAATGAAGTACATAATTTTACTATAAAGCATCAAATGGTATGTAATTGTGGACAAAATCAATTTTAATGTTATACAAGCAATGGTTGGTATGAATTAAAATCATTAATAATTAGCACGAGCTCAAAAATAGATTAAATTAATGATCATAATTAGCAAACAGAATTATGAATGAATGGAGTAGGTGTGTGTATGAAGGGTATATGATGAAACAGAAGTAGTGCAAGCAGTGTTGATTAGTTACCAGTTCCTTCCAATAACCTCCTTTGTGGAATAACCAGTCATGGTAAAGAAGCCGGTGCTGGCATAGACAATGGGGCAATCGGGTTTGGTGGCATCGGACACAACAAATGTCTGTTGAAGGGTTGCCAGAGCGTCCTTCAGCTCCTGAGATACCCTGGGGATTATTATGTCAGCAGGAGGATCAGATTCCTCGGACGTTCTCGTACTTGATTCTTGATGTTGTACCATAATTAATCTCTCTGACGAGGAGGTTTTTCTAATTCCCTGCAGCTGTTGCATCATAACATTATATATTATTTATTTAGTACGTCTATTGTTAGTATTTGTAACTAAATTTGAAATAAGAGTTGTTCACTACCTGCAGCCCCCATTCTGCTGCCCTATCGGCTATGCTAGCTTCCGTCAACATCCACGAAGTTACATGATCATGATCACGAGTACTACTGATATTCATCGTGTCATCATCTCCATGGCCAGCAGTGATTGGAGACTTGCCGGTGGTGGAGGAGGAGGCGGAGGCGGAGGCCTCCTCCGGATGATCAAATGCCATCCACTTGCCAGTCGGAGGCTGCCTTCCGCTGCCCCTGTTGCTTGAGGTGGAAGTAGTCATGATGGATGCAGCTACTACTTCATCAGATGGCCCACCTGCTTGCATACTAGGCCTCTGTTCGCCGCCGCCGCCGCCGCCGCCCGCGGCAGCACTATATGAAGAGGAGGAGGGGGAGGAGTGCTCCATTTTGATTCTGAATTTGATTTTGATGATGATATATCAGAATTAATGAGATCCCTGTACCCAACTACGTCCGTACAGCCTAGCAACTTCCAGTACTCAACCCCACCTGTTGTTAACATCACATATAATATAATTAAGTAATTAACCTACATAGATAAGAGTTTTCCTCAATCAAACAGATAATATTAATTATTCTCTATTTTTTCTGTGCGCGTATATATATATATATATATATATATATATATATATAATAAAAGAACCTAACAATCACAAAAATTAAATAGAAAACAAGCATAAGCAATCAGGCAATTGTAGAGAATTTCAACATACTAAGAAGATTAAATAGAAGAAGCAAGAGATCGAATGAGGTATACACCGTACGCCGAGGTCCAGGAGCAATTGATATTTAATATTGTGCGCATATATATATATATATATATATATATATATATATGCCACCAAGTAGTACGTAGTTTAATTGTGGGCGCTCGCTCCCTCGCTCATTCAAGCTTTTGGAGCCATTGCGTCTTCTTCTTCTTCCACTCACTACTCAGAGCAGAGCAAGTCTTTAATATTTTTGTTTCCAAAGAGAGAAGGAATTGAAACAGATGGAGCAGCAGATAACGTTCACCATAAATACGACTCCAACCGTGCCATGTAGCTCAATCAGGACCGTTATTTTTATTAAGTACCACGTGGGTTTATTCGCATCACTGAGCCCATCGTCCGTCCATTTTTTATTTTATTTTATTTTATTTATTTATTTATTTATTTATTTTTAACTTAGGAGACTGGGCTTTTTAATTATCCCAGAAATACCAAGATTAATAAAAATCTATTTAGAAATGGGACACGTAGGAACCATTTATGAGGCTGCAATACGCCGATCTAGCAGTGTACCACATTTGAGGATAAATTTCGCTATCATTTTTGGTCCCCACACTTGGACAAAGGTCACAAGGACCATTAATTTTTGTACCAATTAACAACACCCTACTTCGTGCGCGACTACTACTGTTTTACAACTTTGTACACATACCAACACTACACGCTTATTCCATATCTTGTACTCTTGTGTATTAACTTCTTTCCCAAACCTGAAAATAACACTATCAAATTTCAAACTCTGTTTTTTTTTTTTTTTTTTAATCTAAAATATTTTGGATTAAAACCAATTGAGTTTAAATATCACTTGACACAAAAAAACTCACGCTGCTATTTTTTTATTATTAATATATATATATATATATATATATATATTTTTGGTCATTCCAAAGGCACAAAGGCCAAACCAAAACGACAATATAAAAGAAAAAGTCAAATCAGAAAAGGCATACAAATTTTGAAGCAAAGAAAAAAAAATGAAAAACAAACTCCAGATTTGTGGAAGAAATAGAGCCCAAAACTCTACAACGGAACCACCATGAGAGAAACGCAGTAAACAGGAGAGACCTAAATATCGGATCATCATCACGGCAACAACTCCAAAAATACAGCTACAAAGCACTCCGACAGCTCATTAAATGAGATGGAAGAGGAAAGAATAATATAGTAAGCTCATCATTAGGAAATTATTTTTAAATTCTTTTCTGTAAAATTTTAAATCATGATTGACAATAATAGCCAAAATTATCTAATTGAAATAAATTTTACATCTGCAAAATATATATGACATCTGTCTCTTCCATTTTTATTTTATTTTTCATCTTTTTGGGTCAGTAAGCTTTTTTTTTTTTTGTGATTTTAATAAATAGTCAGTAGAAAAATGGGTTCATTAAAAGATAGGGAAGAATAATATAGTTAAGTTCATCATTAGGGATTTTTTTTTTTTTTAACTTCAGTTCAATAAAATTTTAAATCATAATTAACAATAATAGCCAAATTATTTAATTGAAATAAATTTTTCATTTGCAAAATATGTTTCATTTGCAAAATATGTATGACATTACTGTCAGGTCCGTTTGTATTTTATTTCTCTTCCTAAGCAATATTTTTTCTTTTCTTAGAGCACATGTATAGATCTCACAATACACACACAATACAAGTCAGGAGTGTCTTTAGAAAGCGATACCTCAAGGACTTACCTTTCGAATTCCTGTCAACGCCGCTGTGCCCATGAGACAATAAGCAATATTTTAATTGACTTATAAATAAATAAATAAAATGAATATTAAAGTGACACTTAACATACATCATACTTATAGCAATAAAAAAAATGGATGTTATAGTTATAGTCAACACTTGGACTCCGTTTGTTTCGACAAATATTTTTATTTTTTAGGTTATATATTTATATATATATATATATATATATTACTTTGTTGGTGTTTGAAAAGGTCTACGTCGAGATTGAGGTCAAGTATATCGGACGGAGCATGTAAAATAACTTGCCAGAAATTTATGAATAAATTATTTTTGTTAAATTTTAATATTTTTTTTCTTCCTAAATATTTTACAATAATTAAATATTAAAAAATAAAAAAATATTTTTTAAAAAATATTAACTTATATTTTTTTCTCACAACTCAAAAGACTAGGTCGGGAAATGGGCAACAAAACTTCAAATTATGAGACACAATTTTGCTGTCAAACATGTTAGAAAGGCAAATAATTCGGCCCAAAATTAATGGGCCGCAACAAGTCACAAGCTAGAGCCGTAGCTATTCAATTCATCTGGTTTTTTGCTTTTTACACACTTATTTCTGTCTAAGAATCTTTGAACCTTAACCTTCCATTCTTGACTGGGATGGAAATGGGGCAGCATGGGGTGAGGAATGTCATCCCCATTTAGAATTACTACTCTCTATTTTCGTCTAAAACGGGACGGAGCGGAATGTCATCCCCATCCTCATACCCATTTAAAATAGCCACCCTCCATTTTTGAATCATTAGTCCTTCAAAGTACAATACCCAAGCTTGCAGTAACTCTCGTATTGTCTGCAGAAGAAAAAATAAAAAATAAACCAGGTCTAAAGTTGTCGAAAGATATGGAAGAAAAGAATATATTGAGAGTGATAGAGAGGTGAAGAAAAGAGAAGACTTTGAAAATAGAAAGAGGTTGAACGTGAAATAGAGAGAGACGTTGAGTAATGGTGTATAAAATCTCAAAGATTATAGAGTTGTAAGGTTTGTCCCGTTAAACGTGTAGGCTGATATTGACATTAAAAGGGCTATTAATCTCACAATAAAATATTCGCCTGTGAGCTAAATTCAAGGGCCATTAATCTTCTAATGGATGATTCACATTTGGGCTAAATTTAAGGGCCATTAATTCAGATTCACAATTGAAATTTGGCTTAATAAAATATTGGACCAAAGAGCAAAAATAAATATGGGCGATAGAGAGCGTAAAATTGGCCAAAGAATTAATGAAACAAATTGCAACGTGGGTTAATTTAAAGGTTTTAAAACTCAACAATTCCCCACACAAGTTTTATAAAACTTTAATGTTGCATTTGGTGTGTAAGAATAGAATAAAATAAAATGTTCATTTCAATCATTTCTTTATTTGGTATGCAATTTAAAATGGAAATGGTCATTCCATTGGAATGAAAATCCATTCCATAACTAAAACTATTAAATGGTCATTCCATTACCAAGTAAGTTTTTTTTAAAAAAATAAACTTCCCAAAAAACCCTTATGTTCCAAGTCCAAAAACAGCACTACCTTCCACCACAATCACCTCCGCCGTTTGTTCACCACCACCACTACCATCGCCTTCCACCACCACCACCAAATTTCACCATCACCCACCGCTTTCCACCACCACCAATACCGCCACCGCCTTTCAACACTGTTGCCGCCACCACTTTCCACCACTACCACTGCCATTGCCTTTCATCACCACCACCACTACTGCCATAATCTTTCATCATTGCCACTACCTTCCACCCCCACCACTACCACACTGCCACTGCTTTCTACTGTCATTGCATTCCATTATCACCGCCGTACACCACCACCATCATCACCGCCACTACCGCCTTCAACCACCACCACCACCTTTCACCACCAACGCCTTCCACCACCTTTCACCACCACCATCACCTTCTACCACCACCATCCCCACCGCCACCGCCACCGCCATCCCCACCGCCACCGCCACCGCCACCGCCATCGCCTTCCACCACCACCACTACCTTTCTACCGTCTTCCACCACAGCCTCCATCTTCCACCACCACCATCGTCACCACCTTCCACCACCACCACCTTCCACCACCACCACAGTCATTTCCATTGGCTTCCACCACCGCTATCTATACCACTATTTCCTTCCACCGCTACTTGCACCACTATTTCCTTCTACCAACACCGCCGCCGCCTTCCGCCGCCTTCCACCGCCTTCTACCAACACCGCCTCCGCCTTCCACCATTGCCACCACCACAGCCTTCCAAGACTACCACCTACACCATTACCACTTTCCTCTTCTACCACCATCCACTGCCATCATTTATTTTAAAAAAATTGTTAGAGAATGTCATTTTGTTAATTTAATTTATTTGTTACTAAGAGGGATATTTTGGAGAATTCAATTTAAAATTTATTCCATTCTAAATTTTAAATTGGTCCAACCAAACATTAGAATGATTATTATCATTCAATTCCTACACATTTCATATTTATAACCAAATAATATAATGAGAATGACCATTCCATTCCATTCCCATTCCTATTACATTTCATTCCATTCCATTCATGCACACCAAACATAGAGTAGTAAAATATTTGTAGTTATACACAAATAACAAAATAGGGCATTAATGTACTATGCAATTGGTGTAAATGTGTTTTAGGCTTAAACTTACAGCTCTGCTTGTTTGGATGTAAAATATTTTTCAGAAAATATTTTTTATTTTTTAGTGTTTGGTTGTCATAAAATATTTACGAAATAAAAAAATATTAAAATTTAACAAAAATAACTTATCTATCAATTTTCAGCGAGTTATTTTACTTACCCCACTTGATGGACTTGACTTCAACCTTGACGTAGACTTTTGGCAAATACCGAAAAAGTAAAAATAAAAGAATATTTTACTTGAAAAAGGAAAATATTTTTAAAATATTTTATGTCAAAACAAATGGAGCCAAAAGTGTTTATAATCTCCATTTGAGAATAACGAGTGACAAAGTCTTGAATCCATTCTCTTATACCAAACTTCAACATATAACACATATAGTATCAACAAAAATACACTTTTATTTTAATTCTTATTAGAGTTATTAGTAAATAGCCCAATTTTCACAATCGTGCGATCCTCATAACGAGTCTAACTTAAAAGTGTTGTCAATGAGTCACGCAATGTGGATTGGTTTCACCAATTGAACTTTTTTCATGGGATCTCCAATCACAAAGGTTGGAGCTACCACCATAGGTACTCCCTTATGAGCATAGGCCTATCCCCTTTGACAAGTCTAGGGCATAACTCGTAGAAAGGCCATCGTTCAATTGATCAGCTATATTTTGCTAAGGTTTTATGTACTCCTAGGACATAATATTAAAAGGCTCCTAACAAATTTATACCTTACTTATATATGTTTATTCATTTTCTTATTTGTTTATGATTGTCTTACTAAATCTATTACATCTTTATTATCACAATGTATGGA